CCCCCCCCCTCTTGTAATGGGCTAGCCACGTTTTATGCAGGCAATTAAAGACAGAGAAGGTCTGCAGAGATCCGAAAAGGAAAATAGAAATTGGGAGCTGCATGGATGCAGAATTTTACATGTTATATGTTCAATGTTACTTTATCTATATGTATATGTGGCCTGCTTATAGCACTGCTGTATAATATATATTTAGGTGTTTGGGTGGTTTTGGTTTTGTTTTTGGCCTAACCACAAAAAAAAGTTTAGATAATTTTAAGTTTAACCCCAAATTGTTTCAGGTAGAAAGTAATGCTGGAATCTAAATAGGGCCCTCCTACCCTGTGTATAAGTAAGAAAGGAGCAGAAATCCCTCAATAACCACTCTGAGTTCTAAGCTCAGAGCAATTACGGTGGAGAGCTGCCCTCCCCATCAGCCTCTGTGTATTGCTAGAGCAATTAGACAAATTACACTCCTTTCAAAGGGAGCTTCCAGAGATGAGAAAATGAAAAACGGGAGAGGGGGGAATTTCCCCTCTTATTACATTTTTTAAAAATCTGAAATGTTTGGAGCAAGGCAAATAGTAGTGCTTTGGACTCCTTGGTGTATGCTTATAAATTTAATCTGAGCTCTTTCAGAGAGAGGGAAGGATCACAGGATTTGAAAACAATGATGGGCCTGAATCAGCAGGCCAAGCAGGCATGTGGGGGGCATTATTCTTCTGCCCAGAGAGGGAATTGTGGGATGGGGGAAAGGAGTGCAAGCACTGTGGCCCTGTGTGGCTTTCATCTCCTGTGAGATAATACTCTAAATATAAATCTTTTCTTCCCCTGCTTTACCACTCTCTGGCTCTTTTCAGGAAGGAGTTCCTTCTGCTTTGCTTTTACATAAAACAGTGGCAAAGCAGGTTCCAAACGATGGGAAATTGAATCTGTTTGCAGGGATTTCTCCTTTGTGAAGCCTTCTCTGGGGCGGAGAGGAAAGACTTGCTGCAACCTCGGCCTGTGTCGGTCCTTCTCCCCAGCCCCTGCACATAGACGTCAACAGTGTGGCCAGAGCTACAGCTGGGCCTGCAACTGTGCTCCCGGCCTCGATTGCAGGCTCTTTCGGACTGTCATTTGGTTCACCTGCCTCTGTCTGCTTGGGATACCAAGGGCAATCGTATATTGGAAATTACAAGACGCAGGAGATATATTTTACAGCTAGGAAGTCTGCAGCAATAAATGTGACAAGAGAGTTTTCTTAAAGGCGTGGGGGGAGAGGGGGGTTGGAGATTAGAACATAAAAATTACATCCTGTCATCTGAGGATTTCTAAGAAGGTTCTTCCAGGGTTAGGAGGAGAGACCTGAAAAGGCACGCTGTTGCCCCGGGGGGAATTTACCTGTGTTCTCCTCTCCTTTCCTTTTCTCTCCCTCTCCTTTCCTAGTTTCCCTCTCTCCAGGATTCCTTTGTTTTTCTTCTTTCCTTTCCAGCCTGCCAGTTTGGACCGGCTTGGGCCTTAGGGGGACTCAGGATTTTGACGGGTCTTTAGGCAACACCTTGCCTGGTCCGGGTCAGCTGGCCGACTGCAGCCAGAGTTGTGGACGCTGCGTCTCTCCCACTCGTCATGCCCCTCCAGCGCTCCTTTCTTACAAGGTTTGGGTGGCGACGCCCTGTGGGGTGAAGCCATTTGAAACCCCACCTTGTGTTTTGAGCTGGCAGAGAATAGGATGAAGGGAAGAAGCGAAAGCATCTATTTCCTGCCTTTCTTTCTTTGCTTGTAAGGATTGTAGGAGTTTCCATGACACCCAAAGCCAGAGTTTTCTATCTAGGGAATCCGGCTGGGAGCCAGCGTCGGCGTTCCCCTGCGCGGGGCCTCGGGGTGCGCGTTTGGGAACGTGGAAGGGGCGCACGCACTGTCCATCTCAAACACGTCCTACTCACCGGCTGCCTGAGAGCGGCAGAATGTGCTTGGAACATGCCCTCTCCCTTTCTGCACACAGAGAGGGTAGACGACTTCTCAGCCGCCTCGTCCTCTCCCCACCTCCATTCCTGGCTTTGGAAAGAGGATCCCCCTTCGCTATCACCCCGCACGGTCAAGCTGAGGGAATGGCGAGTTTGGACTCTTCCCAGGAAGAGAGAGGGCAGTTCTTCTTTAACGACCCCCCTCCCACCCCCAGCCTTGACTCTGCTTGTTGTTACAGACACCAAAGCCTTGTGAGGCGGCCAGGCAGGACGCCACGCGCAGACTTGGTTTCAGGATTCCTTCCCTTGTGCTAACCTCACTCCTTCCACTCGCAATGGCCTCTTCTCTCGCGCGGTTTTTTTTTTAACTGGGTCTGGGAGCCGTGGACAAAAATATTCTGCCAAACCAGTCTGCAGCGGGTTTTCCCTGGCACCATGGGGATTCTCCCAGGGGGATTTAACTCCCTGCAGCCCTGCGCCCAAGGATGTAAAAATAACAGATCCTCTGCAAAGTCTAAAAATATCTGTGTGATGTTCCTCTCCCTCGCCCTCTTTCTCCCCATTGTTTATTCCTATATCTAATGTAAACGTATACCGCTCCACCCAGATTCCTTGATCGGCCAACCCCACTTTCCTGGACCTCTGCCTGCCTCTTCCCGTCGCGTCCCCACGAGCCCGGCTCTCAGTCCAGTGCTCCCAAGATGCCAGGACCACTCCAAGAGTTCATGTTCTTTTCCGTGAGCCTCTTCACACACCCTCACACTCCCAAACCCCCATTTTCAGATCCCCTCCAAAGCCCACGAGGCCCCGACTCTGCTGGCCCTGCTATAAAAGATGAGATAAATTAGCCTTTGTTTGAGGCCCGTGTTGGGCTAAGCAGATTTCTGCCCCCCCCCCTTTTTTCCTGGCGGCCACCTCCTTGTGGAACAGGGGGCGGCCTGGGCAGCCGAGAGAAGCCGCATTCCTGTGGGTGCCAGGCGGCTCCAGTCCTGAGCCACAGGGCCTGAGACACACACAGAGGAACCCGCAGACCTCGATGCCCTTGATCTCACTCGCTCGCTCTCCCTCGCTTTGGGTCACCCACCCGGGAGCCTTTCCAGCCACCCTCGGACCCAACCAGGGCTCGACCTCCACCAGGGGCGTGCTGACCCGCACACCCACGCACGCACACCCCCTCTCCCGGTGGCACCGGCCAGGCCAGGATCTCCCCGC